CCAAATCAATTTTCAATCAAATTTCACCGTAGGCTTTAAAAATTACGCTAATCATAATGGCGCAATCAATTTCAGGTTCTGTGGCCGACTAGGCCTTCAATTTAAATTCCAAAGCAGATAATCAAACAGATATTCCTACGGTGAACAGATAGAAATTCAAAACCACATATACTCATATAAATGGCACTCAAAATCATATCAAACACATAATCATATACATAAGGAGGATCAATTAGCATAATACAGAACAGGATTATCACAGTACCTCTGAACAAACGGCGGTCGCTCGAGCGTGGAATCCTTCGCTCAAGCGAGGAAGCCAAATTCTAAAATTTTCAAATTTGCCTCCCAAGCTCAAACCAAGCATTCAACACCTCAAAACTCGACCTCTTGGGCCCATTTTCTGGAAAACACTTGTAAACTCATAGTATAAGATGTTTCAAAGATCAATTTGCAAAATCAAGACCCAAAGGTGAGTCAATTGAACACAATTTTAAATAAAACTTCAAGAACATAACTTAAATGTAACATGCAAGAATCTCATTGAAACCAAACCCTCCCAAACATGATCAAACTTGATAATTTGATGGACAACAAGATGAATGACCACAATGTGAGTGAAATTAACACATGCATGGAAGAAATCTTAGAATTCAAACTCAAAGCATGGAGATTTATGCATGCATGCATGAATTATTCCTTAATTCAACATTTTAGGCCATATCTTGGCTCTAGACTTCAAAATTATCATGGACCATGCATGACACAACTTAAATTCATAAACCAAAGGATGAATATCCTACCTTAGGCCTTCAATTTCAAGTATGGAAGCTCAAATATGCAATCTCTCTTCAAGTCTTCTAATTTCAAGCAAGAATTCTAGATGAATTCAATGTCTCCAACTCTCTAGCTCTCTCTCACGTTTGGTCTAGGAGGATGGATGAAAAATGATGGCAACAATTGTAAATCAAGACTAAATAATTGGTCTAGCAAAAACCACCTAATGGCATTTTGGTAATTAAGCCATCTAATGTAATTTAACGTTATTTACTCTAATTTAATCGTTCCAAATCAAATTTTAATTAAACCTACCATAAAGTTCTATAAATCCTAACTAACACTTAACACAAATCAATTTCGGAATCGGGCGCCAATAAGGCTTTCAATTCGCAGTTCAAAGTCGAAACATGAACAGATCATTTTATGGCAAACAGATAGAAACACAAAGATAATGCAATTTATATACTAATTAATTCTGGATTCCTTCTAAATTACCATCAGACATAATTAATCATGAATTAGCATTATTCGGAGGTTGGGGTTATTGCAATAACACCGTGAGACAACTACTCTCTAATGGAATTATTCCCATTGAATATGTGAAGTCTAAAGACAACATAGAGGATTTACTAACCAAAGGGTTAGCAAAAGAGCTAGTTGAGAATTCATCGAGAGGAATGGGACTTAAGCCTATTAAATAAGAGTTACCACAATGGCAACCCAACCTACACTACAAGAAATATGACCTTTTGCAAGTATTTTTTTGCGACTGATTGTTTAACCATCGCAAAAAATTACTTTTTACACCACAATCTAATTGTACTCTAATTGTACTTAAAACTCCAAACGCGTTATTTCCCAATCCTGTCTCCATTTCGTGCTCTCTTCGGCTAAAGAAGAGACCTCCAATGGTCTCTCTCTCTCTCTCTCTCTCTCTCTCTCTCTCTCTCTCAAAGTCTCACACACTCTCTCTCTCTCAAAATCTCACTCTCCACTCTCTGTCGCTCGACTCTTTCTTTCGATTCTCCACTCTCAATTTTATTGTTCATTTGAAAATTTTGATCAATTGTTGATGAAGATTTGAAGATTTGAAGATTTTGATGGTTGGTTAATGAAGATTTGAAGATTTCGATCGATTCATAATCGATAAGCCTAATTTATATGAATGAATCCAACTCTCTCTCTCTCCCCTAATTTCTTTCGATTCTCTTTCTCTTTCTCTTTCTCTCCAGAGCCGACAATGGAGACCTCCAATTTTTCAATTCTAGGGTTTAATAGAGTATTTATTTTCAAATTCTTGAGATTTCTGGTGCAAAGCGGAGGTCTTGCAGTGCCTCCTCGAAGCTTCTCACTGTAACGATCTAAAATCTATGCTTGATTACATCTCCGATCGGTTCGTCAATGTCAACTTTGTTAGCACTGTGTGCTTGAAGGTTTGAAAGGCGGAGCTATCATGTTGTAATGAATTGGCGAATGAGATTCACGTTGAGTATGAAGAGTTCAAGAATGATGTCAAAGTGTTTTTCCTTGCTATTCATGCTGAAACTGTGACTCTCGTCAGGAAACTCTGGTAATGTGATTTTAGTCTTTGATTTTGATTGTATCTGTTTGATCAACTTCTTGTTTCTTGCTCTGTTCTATATCACAAAAGTCATTTTTGATTTCATTCAGTTTATTTTGAAGTGTTTCATATGTTAAAAATGCTAAGTGTTCAAAGTGTTTGTTTACATGTTTATTTATCTACATTTTGTTGATCTTTACCTCTCTGTTTTTTGTTTCAATCTCTTCCTATTTTTTGTTTGAATCTCTCATTTTTTTCTCACTCTCTCTACTTTTGTTTGAAATTATTTATTAAAAACAGACCTTGGTTCTCTCCTCTGTTTTAGAAACAATAATCAAATTGTTTTGCCTCTTAAACCTTCCCACCCTGTCTTTTTCTCTCTAGAATCAACATTGTTGGGCTCAGAGAACTCATCTATATCTCGATCATTTTGCTTATTTCAATATGTATTCGCATTTCTGTAGCTTATATCTCGGTTTGAGTTTGACTGGATGTAGGCTTAATGGTATTTGGTTACTGATATATGCTGGTTCAGATTCTGGTAACCTTTCTTAGGTAATCGATTTTAGGTGAAGCTCGAAGCTACGAAACAAAAATTTGGACGAGAAATCTGTGTGTTTGAAACCCCAAATGCTTCTCCAACACCCAGCAATGTGTCTAGGAGTGGTATAACCACTAAACCATTTATGCCATTATTGTTCGTCATTACATATGGAGTACTCTAATAATGTGGAATATGTATTGGAGTACCCTCTTAAAATGCTTGATTCACTTTGCTATTGCTTGCTACTTCATATCACATAATTAAGAGTGATTGCGTAATTAGGTACACATTGTATAAGTGAGAGCCATACTACATTAGGCAAAATAATTTTGTTATGGAATTAATTTTGTAGAGTGTTTATGCTTTTGGATCTGTGGTTTTATTTTTATCAATGGAAGACACAAGTTTAAGCTCATATACACCCACACTCATCATTCCCCCTTGCCCCCTTGTCGATTGTTTGATGTTTGAGGATCAAAACAAAGGTTAAAAGCTCTCCTAAATACTTTCCATAGCATAGGCTTGTTTCAAGAATACCAGTAACCACATGTAAGGATTTCCACATGAAATTGTGTAGGTTTCTTAATAAAAATATATCAATCTGGTTGAGATGTGTTTGCTAAGCTATGATGGAGCTTCTCCCCCTTAGCTTTGTTCTTGGTGTTCCATTCCTTGTAATCCGTTTGTTCTTATTATTTTCTAATAATAGAATTGCAATTTCCTTTACCACTGAAAATGAAAATGAATATATATATATATATATATATTTGTTTTGGGAAGTAGATTAAAAGCTAAATTTTTGACTTTTAAAAAATATTACTTTTAACCTCTTTGCCAAAAAAGGCCTATGATATGAAAAAGGCATTAAGAGGAGCTAACATATATTCAATGGGATTGTTATCATGCAATGATTTTTGAGTGGGTCTACAAACCCGAAACACAACACTAGAATTTTGGAAAGTGCGAAGAGCAATGGTAAAGTAAGTTCCTTTGCTTATAAATTGCTTCTCAAATATGTTGTATTTTGGAATATCACATTTGTGCTTCCTACTTAGTTTCCTTTATTTATTTATTTATTTTATTTATTTATTTATTTTCCAGTAGATACGTTATTTTGATAAAATCTAAAAAAGTAGCATACAATTTTTATCTCGATATTTTCTTCTTCTATAAGAAATAAGAAAATATTGAAAGACTATTCTTGCATTTATTTTAGCAATTATACTCTAGTAGTAGACAAGAACTAGATTTTCGAAAGACACTGTAGAATTATCTTATTTTCCATCAAATTAAATAAAATTTCTAGTTTACTAAAGTTTCCTTAATTATCTTCTAAACATTAGTGCTTTTACATGATATTCTGCATCTCAATTTATCTCTTGGTTATTGAGCACTTAGAAAGGACAAACTGCTTTAGGGCTATTTTTGGAAGTGATTGCAAGTGATATTGGGAACATTGGGTAATTTCTATTCTTATGTTTTAGATAGTATTTTATATTTCTTGGTGAAGATTAGTGATCCTGTATTGGGACATCATGTAGTCATCTAATGTAGAGTTTAGAAGCTAAAATTATTTTGTATGTTTCGGATTACTTCTTTTTCGTCTTCTAACAGTTCAAAACTTAATTTGATCGTTGAAGGCTATATTGAGTTTTAGTACTTTTGGTTGGTATATTTTGTCCAATCTGAGCTAAAAATTTGGAAATAACGTCTTAAGAGAGGAAAGATCTCAGGTGCAGAGTCTGGCTGTTTCCTCCAAGTTGACATTTTTGTGTTCAGCGGCCCTTGAAGGTTTTTGGTGGACGAGTATCTTATACCCATTTCAAACTAATGTATATTCTACAAGGTAAGCTGCTAGATGGTGGGTGATTCTCAATTCATTCTCTATTCTGCTCACCTTTCAAGATATTTTCATTTTTTATTCACATATTGATTGGGTTTCAACCCTTCACATTTGGGGAAGTTCACTTTTTATGGCAGCTTGTGGCTTCAAAGTAAGAAGAGAAACAAGCTTTTGTGAATATTTTCAAATTTTTTATGTTGTTCCATGTAAAGTTGTATTGAATATGGACATGATGATATTAAACTCTTGCTTTCCTGAGAATTATTTTAACCATGGCCCCAATTGGTATGATGCACTTTAAGAATAGCTCTGTGACTACCCAAAGGAGGGAGATTGGGTTAATGGCTTTTGCCTTGAAGCTTTTGCTACTTAAGCACTTTAATAATAGCACCGCTGACTTTGAGACTGTTAGGGATATCAAAGAAAACCTTTGCTACTTAAGGTGAAGATATAACATTATAGTTTGGTATGCTTTTTTAGGATTTGTTTTTACAATTTATTAGATTTGTTTTCCTGCAGTTATGATTACAAAAGGGAATATCAACTGGGACTTGGGATTACCATCCTTGTCAAGAATTATACTGTAAGTTTATTCTCTTATCTATCTGTGTAATTATATAGAATCTTCTAGGAATTGTTCAACTTACTTTCCTTTTGGGCATGGTGTGACTGTGATTGTGACATAGGTTATACTTTTTCGTATTAAAATTTGTACATATTTTTTGTTAATTTATTAAGAAAAGTTGATTTAATCAGGTGCCAGATGGAAGGGTCATCAAAGTTGGCACTGAACGATTCCAGGTTCCTGAGGCTCTTTTTACTCCTATAAGTGCATTATTCTCTTCAATTACCTATCTTCAAGGACTTTATGTAAACTTTGAATTTCTACATCTCTGGTTCTTTTGGATATTACTTTTCTTTTTAATTTTTACCTTCTTGAAAAAAGTTGGTTTCTATTCTCTTTTTGTACTTAAGAGAAGCTTGAATTCAACATTGTATGCTGTTTGACGAGTTTCATTGATCTCTATTTGCCTATTTTTGCTTATAGTACGTGGTTATTCTAAAAATTTCAATTCTTGAAGGTCAGATGTGAATTCTACTAATGGAGTCTATGTCAATATATAAAGTTTCCATTAGGAGAGACTATCAGATGTTGCCTAATCAGCTTGGTATGCTCTGATAAAAAAATCTTTTTTAATTGATGGGTTATCATCATGATGATAGATGCTTCTTTTCTTTCTTTTTTTCTTTTTTTTTTTTTTTTGAGTTAGAAAGGAAGTTACATTGAAGTAAAAAAAAAAATAGGTTCATACAAGGAACTATTTTACAATAAGAAGGGAACCTAATGTAATGCCCCGTATTTTATCACGCAGATAACATTACCAATATTCATTAATTAAGTCCATTTACAAATAATATTTCATCCTTGGATGAAATGATGAATAATTAAATATACATATTCCCTCTCGTTATACAACAATGACATTTACATACAAATAAAAGACATGCCCTAAGGTTTACAATAAAAGAGAGGATACTACTCTTTACAAAAAAAAAATAGCACTCAGTCAAACAACAAATAAAGTAATACAATCCATCACTACATTATACTTATGAAATTGTAAGACCCATTGAAAAAATCTAGAAATCCCCTAGATATTGATTTGTGATTATGTATCAATTTTAAGCAGAATATAACAATCCCAATCAAACAATCAAGACAAAGAGACACAACGATTTTTTATGGAAAAAACCACAATTGGACACCTCCAACTGTGATAAAAAAAAACCACGGGCAACAGCCACAAAACAATCCACTAAGAAGATTTAAAGGAATTACACAGGTATACTCTCAATTACCTAGCGAATCCACGCCTAATTGAACCAACCTCTATGTGCCTCTTCCAACCCGTCTTCACCTCGGAATTGTCTTTACGATGAGCCACCCCGGAATCCACCAAAGCTTCAGGCTCAAATTCTTCAGAAGCCGCCAAAGAACAACTCTCTCTTTTGTAGAACAAACCAAAAGCTTTGATGTATACTCTTTAAAATATGAGTTGAATACTCAATCAAAACATCAAAGAAAAACTAACAAAATATCCCCAGATATAAACCTTAAGAACCAAAAAGAAGATCTGGAGGATTTCAGGAGTAGTCTAGTTTTGGGAGAAAACCAACTACTTATAGAAAACCAAAAAGTAATCCTAGATTTGGAAGAAAACCCAATCCTTATTGAAATCCAGAAAACTGTGTTCGCGCGGTCCGCTCGAGCGTCTTCAGCAAAATATGCGTGTGACAAAACAGAGGTCCACTCGAGCGCTAGAGAACCCACTCGAGCGTGAAATCACATAGCTCATTACTTTTACAGGCGACCAAAACTACTGGAACCAGGGATTCTCCGCTCGAGCGGGGGAATGTCCGCTCGAGTGGACAGGCAGCTCGATCCCCGTCATAATCAGCGAAGTGGCAATCTTGAAAGCATTAGCATCACAAACTTCTCTGAAAGGCTTGATTCGGGTTGGATTCGCATCTAACAACTCATAGCCTCACTGAAATAAAAATGCGAATAAAATTACAACTCAAAGGAGTTTTGTCAAACGGGATTGCCAAGAAATAAAACCTAACACCCATTATTTGATCTTCAAATCCGAAAAGCATTCCCTGTACACATGTACAGGTTGGGGGTGAGCAAGCTCACCGAACAATCTCATATTAAAACATTAAAAGATATGCGGGTACAAAGATACTCCTACATATACGTGAAATCATATCATGTCAAAACCATATGATTCTATTACATAAACTCTTAAATCCAATTTATTTAATTAACCACAACTAGTTAACTTAAATAAATAAGCTTGCCTCAAATGCAACATGACATCCTTTTCAATTCTTTCAATTACCCATTTGTCAATTGAATCAAATAATTAAACAATTCACAATGACATCTAACAAAGCATTAAATACATTTTATATAGTCTTATGAGATGAATGCATATGCCATATCATGCTAAAATATTTTCTCATCTTTTGAAAATCTTATGCACAATGCTAATTTGAAAACACATTAATCCAACAATTTTAATAAAATTCCAAGGTGGTAAATACGACTTAGGTAATCCATAGGCTGGTGTCTGGAAGTAGACTGTACAAGTACTACCAATTCATTTCCAGTTCATATATGCTACTCAATTCATGAGTTAAATTCATTATCTTTCAACAACCAAAATGAGACTACAACTCAATGATTTTCCAATTATGCAAAACTTACATGAACACTTCAAACCTGCCATTTTACAGATATTTCATCCGAAGGAATCGGCACCTATTTGTATATAAAATTTCAGGTTTTTCACCCAGGACACTCCGGCCAACTTGCTTTAAATGGAGTCCATCCCCTTTTCCCTCCCAAACAAATATACATATGCAATGTATTTATAAACATAATCACATATGGAGTACATCCCCTTTCTCCTCCCAATAAACATACATATACAATGTATTTATAACATGGTCATATTCAATGACACTAACAATGGATTAGCATTAAATCGCCTAATCCTCATGTAATTTCTACAACAATCATAGTTATCCCCCACTGATAGCCCAATGCAATTATTTCTAAAGAGATATTCAATATCAAAATAAATCGTTTATTCAAAACTTCCATAAGTGAGATAATACATATCCAATATCACCATTTATAATCACAACCTTCCAATTTCACGTTTTCAATGTTAATCCCGATTATTTATGCAAAATAATGATTTAATCAAATTAGGGAAAAAATGCCCCTTTTACCAAATATTAACCCAAATACCAAACACAACTACTTTGGTACAACATGATCCTATACTCAAAGTGAGGTCAACATTTCAGGATTCCTCTCCAAACCGGGATGATCGAGCGAGAGAAGGTAGGAGTTCAGTCAGAGCGTACTAAGGCTTTTGTTTGAGCACTTTCGCTTCTTTGTTCAACCCACGTGCGGGGGCCTAACGCACTCCGAAATATCGGCCTCCGATCACTGTCCCGATGTAGATGGACTATTCTAGCTGAGAGCTCCCTATGGTTGAACTATCCGCTACTGCTTGCCTTCCTGTTATAGCTACCGTACTACCTGAGACAACTACTTATCTTCCCTTGCTCTTTGACAAAGAAAGAGTTATAGCCTTTCTTACCTTACCACTCAAACAGCAGCTAAGGCGATTTGCAAAGCAGCTTGTCTATGACTATGAGACGAATCGGCACCTTATTAATAGCCTATGTATCTGAGCAGCAAAACAAAACCTACGATTGAGGTATTTAAGTTTGGGAGCATACAAAATGGAGAGAGAGTTTTTTTATAATTTTTATATTTTCAGACAAAGAAAAAGGCCTTGACACTAGTTATAAGAGTCTGAAAAAAGCCCAGGCGCAAGGCGAAAAGCGATGTTCACAAGTCTTGGTGAAGAAGTTGAATTAGGTGCTAACGTAGATAGTAGTCGATCCAGGCTCAAGGCAATAACGACCAGTAGCTATGATGATAAGTAGCAGTGTCAGAGCTTTAAAAAATGTTTTCCTTCCTCTAAGAGACTCTGAACGAATGCTTGAATGCTCTGAGGTGAGGTCTTGCCAGAGCCTTTCTTTAGGAGTGAAGGCAAGATCCGACTTTCAATCGAGTGAATAGCAGGCTTGTAGTTGAATCGAGAGTGGCGATTAGTACAAGATCGATAATCTATCTCTTTCTCGCAGCTCGTGCTTTAAAGCGAACGAATGGAACTAAAGGAATGATTGTTGACTAGACTTATACGATATTACCTTTGATTCCTATATGCTTTCATAGAGAGAATATCCCAGCTAGAATAGCAATAGGATATAGGAGAGACTGGGGAATCAAATCTTTCCTTAACGATTCTTCACTCCTTGTTCATAGCTAACCAAGAGTGAGCTTATTCAAGCAGATAAGAGAACGGCGGACAAGGCGACAACAGCAATTACTTGTGCAGCGGCATCGTCCGTATGCTATCGAATCGCGGACGATGTCGATGCATACGGAAGCATGGAATCGGACGCTAGCTTCTCTCTTTTCTTAAATTAAATGCGGGGTGCTTAACACATGCAGATCGGTCGATCGGTTAGCGCCTGCGTGTCCCTACGATCAGGGTGAGGGGAAGTTTAATTGCTTACTTTTTAGAGTTAATAAGTAGAATTCACCATTATTGCATGCAAAACAGACAAGGCGATAGGTGCCTAGCCATCAACTCATTCTCGTAAGAGACGCCGAGAGATACAACTTCAGGTTCTTCCGCAACCTCGAAAGAATCATAACGAAATGGATCCGAAAAGGACTAATGTGTTGGTACGGATTTCTTTTTCTTGTAGGCCCGCTAAGCTAAGGTCACTGCGACCGCATAACCATTCCGACGAGAAAGACTACTAAACAACGAGCTTCGCTGAGAGCCCTCCACTCAGTAGGTACTCTATCACTATTACCCAGACCGAGATAGAGATGGACTCCTGGACGAAGGATCTCCTCTTCTGCTGATAGAGCCGGGATTACGTCCTCGCTCTAAGAAGTAGGCAAGTAAACTAGCTAGTGCCTCTTTTATCATAGGCATTTTGGTCAGCAGGCTACTATTTCAGATCAATTCCTGGAGTCATGCCAACAAAGCCAAACGGGTGCCACAACCCCTTCAGTAGTTGATCTTGCCATTGCTATTGATACATATTTAGGCGGAGCAAGCAGAGCAAGGGATGCCTCAAGACGGGTAAACCAATTCTATGGCCAAAGATCTGTATGGAAACCTTGTTTTGAGATTCCCCGTAAGAACCTGAGAAGTAAGAAACTAGCGGTTAGAGAGCCACGTTCCTGTAATGATTATGAGTTAGATTTAATGTTTTATTTTTTGTGATTAAAATAATTTATTTTATCTTTTGTAATTAAAATAGCAAAAAAAAAAAACTCAAATCCATCTTTCCAAACGGAGCATTTGTTGTAAAATTTTTGCATGAAAGAGTATGTTTGTATATTATTAATCTTTATTATATTTACATTTTTGATTCAAACTATAAAATTATTTTTTATTAGTCTTGTTTGATAAGGCTATGTTTGACATTCTTGGCTTGGACTAAAATAGTCATAAAAA